GAATCTGTAAGCTACCATTAGAGATTTTGATATCAGAAGCGTTCTGGTTTCTGTTTGTAGTCCGAGTAGTATTGAACAGGCTTTGGTTGAATGCAGGTAAACAGTGCATGTGGAGAGCAAATGAGGCAAACACATTGGCCAAAATGGAGTTCTGGAACCAAACAACTATCATCTGATGGCAATTTTTAGCTTTTTTTTTTTTGGTCATTCATATGGAGCTATCTGTTTATAGAGAGTAGCCAAAATGACCAGCACACAGAAGAAGTTGTCTTGGCTTAGATATCTGCTAGCTATACAGAACCCCTGAAATATTACCCTGAGAGGCTTATTGTTGTCAGACCCATAGCCAATTGGTTCCAAGACTGGCCAAATGCCAGCGGCAGCTTCATATTCAGGGTGCAGATATGTGAGTGGTCACCACTGGGAAGAAGATTTAAGCATTTAATTGCTCAAGTATCAGGTATAAAATGCCGTCACAGTGTTGATGTAGTAAAAGAGTCTTTCTGTCCATCTCCCTTTCTGAAGCTGAAAGAACAAAGCTTTGTCATTCAATGTGTTGTCATTCCAGCTGTGATTTACTATCTTGGAATTTCTTGTCCTGGTTTCAGGTGAGTCACTCCTACACCGCCACAATTTTATCACCATCCATCCCTGGTTCTGCTGATCAAATGACAGGGCAGTCACAAAGCCGCAGAAAGGGGTGGATGCTTTATCGCCGAGGTGAATCAAACAAGCCTTTGTCTCCTACTGTCACCCGCCCTTCTGCCTGTCTCTCTGCTTACCTGTCTGTCTGCATGTCAGTCCGCTTTTTAGCCTGTGTCACAGTTCGTGAGGTTGTCTCTCTTCATGTATGTTAGTCGCACCTGTTTGTGTGCGCCATCTACCTGCCTAGCTCACCCATTTTTCCATCTTCCCTGTCTGTCTTCGTGCTTGACCGCGTCTGTCTACCTGCCTTTATCTCCCCCGTCTGTCTATGTGCAACCTGACCTGACCGTTGTCTCTGGTCTTTTTCAGAGCGTGACTGGTTGGCTGACCGACCTCTGGACTGATTAGACTTACCTACCGCAGAGCAGCTGGGACACACATGCACGCACACACACATAAACATGAATGCACAGGCAGCTCATTCAGCCTCGCACTGGCACTCTGCCCTGGCTTGAACCGCTAACCATCCGCTCATCAGCACCACAGACCTGTGAGTGTTTAAGACACGCTGCCTAATCTGATCTACTACGTATGTGCAAAAAGATCCAGCTCTGCAGGCGAGGCCGCTGGTTTTTTCTTTTTTCTTATTTTTAGGAGTTTACATCAAGGAGGAATTTGGGAATATGACAACATACCAGCAAATATATGCTCATGTGCACACACACATACACACAAAGAGCTATAATTACGCTATTACACCATACAAGGGAAAGTAGTGGAAAACCCAGAGGAGCAGCCGAAAGAGAGGTGTAAATAGAAAACTGGTGACTCACATTCTAGTGGCTACACACTCGCCACACACACACACACACACACACACACACACACACACACACTGAGAGAGAAAGAGCCAAAAACACAGGGTTCACCCACATGGAGCCAGAGGAAGCAATGTGTGTGTTTGTGTCTTTGTGTCTGAGTGTGGTGAAAGAGTAGGATGAGTAAAGCTCCATTTGCCATCACTGATGTTATAGTTACTGGAGCTGTTATCAAAAGGGTTTTTTGTTTTTAAACGTTCTGTTCTTTAAATGAATGAACCCTCTAACACACAGTCTCTCCCACCCATTAATCACTCTGTGCTCTGCTGCACTGTCCTATAATAGGTTCAGGGAGTGATGCTGCTCCCCAGGATGTGGCTGAGAGGAAACTTGTTTCCTTGTTTGCTCAAAGTTTAGAGGCTCTTTTTAATTTGGCAAAACGCACAAAGTTTTCAGTGACCCTTTATATCCTAAAAAGAGTCTCTGAGTCACACTAAAATGTCACTGTCCTGTTAATCAATGACAACGTCAATGCCAAGTTCTTTTTCAACAAAGGCTGCAACTGACAACTGTTTTCATAATTGATTCATCTGACTATTCATTTCTTGGTTACTGTCTAAAATGTCATAAAGTAATGAAAGACTCCTGGCAGATGTCTCCACAGGTATTTTTGAAAACAGGGTTTTTCCTCCTTTGTTCAAAATAAAATGTACACACGAACACTATTTTTGTGAGAAACCTCTGTCCAAATAAAAATGGAAAACACAATTTAAGTACTTTCAAGAGCATTACAAGCCAAGAGGCAGCAATATAATCACGCAAAGAATAATAGGATGTTGGCCAATCAGAAAAAAGCTGCTATGGTGAATCATAGCACATTTTGACACCTCTGTTCCTCACTATAGTGGAAGAGTAATTGTACATTTATATGTTAACATGTAAAAAGTCCTGTGAGCACGGTTAGAGCCAGCAAAAATTGTAGCCACACCCGCCATCACAGACAATGTTGCTTCAACTGTGACCTAAAGTGCAGTCTGCATGTGGAGGACAAACCAAAACGCGTGGAAAAAGCATTCATGTACGTATATGAACTATAGGCCTCAAATTGTTTTGTTTTATCCAACTAGTAGTAAAAAATGCAAAGATATTAATTTTACATTAATTTAAAACAGAGCAAAGGATGAAATTCTCACATTGGAGGAACTGGAAAAGCTAGTGTTGTCATTTTTGATTTACTGATGATCAAAAACCGATATGGATTATTTTCTGTCAGTCTATACAATCGGATTTTGATGATGAAAATTTAAAAAAAAAAAAAAAGGTTCTTTTTAAGAGATAATTCCATATAGCATTTTTCTTAAAGTGAGTAAAAGATCTAACTAGTAGAATGAGTTACTTCCAAAACAACTTGTTTCAGGAAGTTTCATTAATCAACCTCTGTATTCTTACTGCAAAAGATCAGCCCTAATCTGCTTTGTTTCAGGATGCTGACAGTCTTAAAGTCTTCTTGAAAAAAAAAATCCAGTGAATAGACTGCAAGTAGAGCAGTCTAAAAATAAATATTCTTATAGCTTCAATAAAATTTGAAGTACAGAGTCAGAAAATCCTGGAAGTCTCAACACATCATCAAGGTCAATTAATTCCTACAGTATAACAGAAAACAAACTCACAGAGATAAAAGAGTTGTGTCTGAATGGGATGCCACATTTTGTTCACTTTTAAAAATGAAACTCAAGTAGAAAATGTAAAAAATGAATGTTTGGCCTGTTTGCTACCTCCCAGTCAGTTGGTCTCATTTCTATCGCTGCTGTTTGATGCTCAACATCTGACTACTGCACTTCACTTCATAAAGTTTAAAGCAAATGTTCCCTTTCTCACACCTCCATTCCAGAAACACCACACACACACACACACACACACACACACACATCTCACTGCTAGAGTCATCCAGGGGCCACCCTCATTACCCAATGCACAGGTGTGCAGGGAGTCTATTCAGGATGGATGCGAACCAGACCAAACCTTTGTTTTATACATGAACATATGCAAACTCACACACACACACACACACACACACACCAATACACACACTGTCTTCTACACACCTCAGAGCCACTGGGGCTGAACTCTGTGGTTAATGACTTTCCCACCCACTACACAGCATGCACATGTTGAAGCCGTTAACAATAAGTGGCTTTTCGAACTTGGTAACGTCCTAATGTCCCCGTTAATCTCACATTCCTCACTACAAAGGCCAAAGAACATGGGCCAGCGATTTCACTGAGATGAGTAATTTTGTCAACTACTATAAACCAGTAACCCACATTTTTCCAGGGAACCTTTGGCCATCTGTGTACTGACACTGGGCAACCTTATCAAAACACTTGTGCAAACCTTCCTGATGAAAACCATGCTTGAAATAACTCACTATTAAAGGTGAGATCACACAGTTACTTCGGATTAATTATTTAGGCAGTAAGTGCTCAGCTGCGCTCCTTTTCTGTTGTGCATAACGAGATAATCTTAAATCTCTGCACAACATGGCATTGAGTGACCATTGTTACTGTTAAGGATGGATGCTGACTACAAAATTGTTATGACTGCATAATACATTTCTCCAGCAAGCACCATAGTTCCTGACAAGAGTACAGAACCTTGGGAGCTTTACTTTTAGTTTGTGAGAACAGCCTGAATTAAGCGATACGACTATGAATGGTGATCAGAGTTGTATGAGTGGCTTTGCATCAATCATACTAGTGATTTTTTTTTTTATGTTCCAACATTTTAATAAAGTTTAATGATGCAATTTAAACTTTATATTCATGAGAGAAGCCTTTTCTGCATACTGCTGAATCTCGAAAATTAAATGAGAGATCATTATGTCAGTCGATTATGAGAAAGTCGTTTTCAAACTTCAACCATTCTGATTTATTTCCCAATTTGACCACAGACTGCACCTGATTGATTCAAGATGCCCATCCCTGGCACCACTCTTATTCATTTCACCCTTTAAAACCTACTGTGAATTTTTTTAGGAGGCTGTGCCAGCAGATATTGTAGTTAAATAGTGAAATCAAAGCAAAATTAGGTTAAGTGACTCTGAGGTAGCTTACCACAACAAAATGTCTGACCCCACTGAGCTATAGCCTATAGAATGAGAATGACAGTTATATAGTATGTTGTTGACACATGCAGTGTTTGCAGCTGGCCCATAAAAATACAGAAAATACCAGAAACAGCTCAGGGTAAAAAGGAGCCTTAAATGGTGCATCTTTCAGTCCTCATATTTGAGTAATATGCTGCAGTTAACTCACCTTTGAGGGTCATTTAGGCTACAAGTTTACATAGGTACACATTATATTAAGTATCAATGTAATCGGCGGGACTTTAAGTGGCAAAAAGTGTCTAAATACTCAGTCACGACAGTCTTTAATTTCATTTCATGACGTGCCTTTTATTAAAGGCTACAGTGGTGGTCATATTTGACCCCACGGTCAGCAAACACTCTTAAATAACATACAAAGTGGTCGTAGGTACCTGGAGGTGTCTGAAAGCAGTCGTTAGCTGAGTCATGTGCAGAGTGAGGCACCTGGACGTGCATCTGGCGCTGTTGATTTTCTCCTGAACATCCTCCTGCTCCGGTGAACTCCTGCGGGCACGAGTCACCGCCAACACCGCGCACAGGAGCACCAAAGCGGCCCGACACCCTGACATCACACCGAGAGGAAATACAAGGAAAACGAAATGAAAGGAAACGCACAAATTTTAAAACGACAAACAGTTTTGCTTCCTCGTGTCCGGCTCGTCAACGTCCCACTCTCGCGACCCTTTAAGTTCAGAATGAAAACATCAGAGCGCTGCTCCTGTCTGCACGCGAGCAGTGAGTGGAGCGGCTCTACCCTCCTCGCGGACACTCCCACCACCGGTACAAGTGCGTCCACGCGGAGTTATCATGGCTTTCAACCTTATTATCCTTATCATAATGCTCATCGCCTCTGTGATTTCAGTCACTTCTTCCTCCAGTTACACTACCTGGTATCATCATCATCATCATTATTACCACTGCCATTAACATTCATTACCTGTGCACGTGCAGCTATCGTCATTATCGTCATCATCCTGGACCTGATACCCACCATCATCACCATTTTACTGTACTTCACAGCATAACCATCATCATGATCAACTTTACCGCCTACACCTTTATCTTCATCATCATCTTCATGTTTACTTTCTATAGCACTGTTGGTCTTGCAGTGACTACCACCACCACCATCATCATCATCATCATCATTATCAACTTAACATGATATATTGTCAATACCTGCATCACTCACACTCTGTGATCATTCATAATTATCTTGAATGATAGCATTATCTTCACTGCCATCACCGTCACTATTGTCACCATCCTCATCATCATCATCATCAACTCAGCATGATATCATCCATACCTTCATCATTCAATCACACTGTACCTCTTCTCATCATCATTATGCTGAATGCCAGCATTATCTCCACTGCCATCACCATCACCATCACCATAGCCATCACTGTCACCACCATCATCATCATCAACTCAACATGATATATCGTCCATACCTGCATCACTCACTCTCTGTGCTCTTCATCATTATCCTGAATGCCAGCATTATCTTCACTGCCATCACCATAACCATCACTGTCACCATCACATCATTATCATCATTATCATCATCACAGGCATGAATGGATTACTGAACGGGCTTACCAAGCACAGGGGCCCAAAGTGTCAGGGGCTCCCTGGTCCTCATCTGCAAAATGTCAGTGAGATTACTGTAACACGTACCAACCAGAAAGGGACTCAAAATGACCACAAAGCGATGCAAAGGGACCGGATACAGACCTGGATACAGCATAGGTGGTGGGCACCTGTTCACTCCATTCCTAAAGTTGCTCAGTGGTGCATGAAGCCAAAATGGTTTGACTGGTGGGTATAGAATTAACGGATGATCGGCACTGCTTCTACATTGTGCAGCCCATTGAGCAAGTACACTAGAGACTTCCGCAGACCGAGCTGGCTGCTACAGCACTCTGTTAACTTGGACAGGGATAAAATGATTTAGTCATGCGGCTTTAGACTTTCCAAATGCTATCAAACCAAATGGATTACATCTTGATAGTGAACTGAGTCATTTCGTGGGGGTAGTGGTGCTCAAAAAAAATTATCCACTGATTTATAGGCATGTCTTTTGCCATGTAAGTCATCGCGGAAAAGTCATTTTGGGCTGCAGGGCATCACGTGATGAACTCAGAAAATATAATTCCCCTGTTTGACCATGATGAAAATTGGCTTCAAAGCCTGGCGCACTTCCTGGGGGCCTCAAAGAGACACAAAACCACTAAAAGATGCATAAGGACTACAAAGAGATGCAAAACAATGACAAAAAATGAGGCAAAAACCACAAAGTCTGTGTACGTAGGAGAGGTGGTGGGGCCTTTTGCATAGTGGTGCCTGAGGGAACATGAATGCGGGTGATTATGCAACAGGCCCTTGTTGGTCAGCTACAGCTTAACACGGTGATATAGGAGACATGGACCTTTTTTCTGGCCTATTACAGTCAGAAAGAATCATCATTTTCATCCCCATCTCCACTGCTTCATCTGCATCATCTTCACCTGTCACCTTTATCTTTATCCTCCCATTTTCATTATCATTCATTATCCCCTCTTCCACTATGATCATGATCATCATCATTATCACCGCCGTCATCATTACTGTAACCTTCTCCTCCATCGTCGTCATCACCATCATCATCATCTTCATAATGTTACCTTCAAGGACAGTCTTCACCACTGTCGCTCAATAATCTTCCTTGTTATGACCAGGACTACCATCTTCATTTCCATCATCACCACCATCATCATCATCATCATAAATAAACAGCTCCATACTCAATGAGTTATTTGTAGAAGATCAAAAAGCTGCTATAAATAAATTAAACATAAGGAGATGCAGTGCAGTGAAGCAAGAGAAAGCATTTATGGCGTAATGGTTTGCATGGGAGGCTATTGTTCTGGGCCTATTAACACTTTACTGTTACTATTCTGAAAAACAAACTCGTCTTTATAGTCTGGGAATTCTCTCTGGTAATTATTAGCACAGACTAATAAAAGAGCATTTATTAATGGGAAAGAGACCTGAAGAATGTGTTGAGGTAGGTGTCTGTCACAGAGCCAGTCAGTGTGTTAGTCAGTCACCACTTTGCTACAGCAACTGCAGAGCCAAGTGGGCTTTATTAGATCCAGGGCCAAGTCAAGATGTTTAGGACACATGGTTGAAAGCCCTATTTGTTTACATGAAACTGTAACCCAGCAGAGGAGTCATCCCTGTTGGCAGCGAGATGGAGAAAGAATCACCTACATTTTGATTTAGGGGAAATGGAAACGTATAAATATTTAGTAAGTACTGGCAGGACTGTTCTGCAGTGGAGTTTTCATTCTGTCCTCATATAGAAAGAGCTGCACACTGCAGGTTAGAACAGTAGACTAGATCAGTGGCTTCTAACCTTTTGGCTTGTTAACCCTCAAAATTAAGATAATTTACAAGTTCACACAGCCCATGGTGATGTATATAGGTAGCTTGTTTGATTTGACCAACTATAGAATATCAAACAATATGTAGTTTTCACTCAGCTAACTGATAATGAATTAATTGTTGTAAGATATTAGCTACTAATATATGCTTGTGGACCCTTGTAATGGGCTAGCATGGCCATTAGCATGGCCACTGAGCTACAGCATCGAGCAGTTCAACAACATAATCATATTTCCTCTCTGATTTTTTCATTAGAGGACCTTTAACAGGCCTAAAATACACAATTTTGTACAACAGAAATGTTTCTATGTACTCTGTCTTACCCCTGTGATTATCTTGTGATCTCAGGATCCTTAGGGGGGTCCCAACCCCTAAATTGGGAGCCACTGGTCTACACAGTACTGCGTCACTACGACCACAAGAGAGACAAATATACAGAGTAGGACCGAGAGACAAAATGTACATAAGTGATGTGCTGTGAAGCCAAACTAAGTGTAGTCACTGTGTTCAAAAGCGCGTGTGTGTGTGCACGTGCACACCTGACCTCAGAGGACCTACGCAGGCCTTAAATCAGAAAGCATGAAACCAATTCTTATACATGCGTGTGCGCACACACCCACACATACACACCCTCTCTCTCTCTCTCTCTCTCTCTCTCTCTCTCTCTCTCTCTCTCTCTCACACACACACACACACACACACACAGATGCACTCCACAGTAGTTGCCCATTATCTAAATGACCGACATAATATTTTCATATTTTCTTAAAACACCCTGCTCAGGTTTCTGAATAAACCATTAGTGGAGCAAAGACCCTCCCCAACACATACTCAAACTTCACACAGTTACACACATACACACACGTAGTTTCTCTGTCTCACACACACACACACGTAACAGAAGCATTCACCGTCTGTCCAAAATCTGCTTGATTAAAACCAAATGTCTTTGAATTTCAAGAAAAGAGAGAGGAAGAGGGATAGTGTGGCAGAGAAACAGAGTGACAGAGAAAAGAAAGAACGAAAGAACGAAAGAAAGAAAGAAAGAAAGAAAGAAAGAAAGAAAGAGGGACAAACAGACAGAGGGACACAGAACTGCCAGAATCTCAGCTCTTGTGATCAATCAGTAGAAATTAGCCAGGACATGACTGAACACCAACAGATCTCTCTAATTCAGTTGAATACTTCAGTCTTTCAATCTGATCTTGATCAAAGCTGCTACCTCACAAAGAGTAACTTGATTATCACCCTGGTTTTGTACATTTAGAACGCAAGCAAGCAAGTTCCAGGCTGGTTTCAGACCTCTTATCAATGCCCGCTATCGATTTAAATACTGTAATGGTCTGATTGTCAGGCTAGGAAGCAAGGCTGGAGCTCCTGTAAACACCAAAGGCTTGCCCTCAATATTGTTTCAATGAATTTGGGGGTTTTAATGACTTGAGAAGTTTACAATGTACATTCATTCATTCACTTCCATACCTGCTTATCCTCTTGAGGGTCGCGGGGGGCTGGACCCTATCCCAGCTGACAATGGGCAAGAGGCAGGGTACACCCTGGACTGATCACCAGACTATGACACATAGAGAGGGACAACCACTCACATTCACACCTACGGCCAATTTAGAGTCACCAATTAACCTGCGTGTCTTTGGACTGTGGGAGGAAACCAGAGTACCCAAAGAAAACCCACACTGACACGGGGAGAACATGTCAAACTCCACACAGAAGGGCTCCCTCCTGGGATCCAAGAAGGAACCCTCTTGCTGTGAGGCGACAGCGCTAACCACCTTTCCACCGTGCCGCCCTTACAGTGTAGAATTATACAAAAATTAGTTGTAGTCTGTCTATTCATAGAATACACTGACCATATTTTATTTATTTAAGTAGTTTACATAACTTCATTATGTAGAGACCAGCTGAGAAAACCAGTTGTACTAATCTAATTTAATGCCATAGGCAGTAACAATGTATTTAAAAGAATCTTTCTTCAAATTGTTATTTTCAGTGATTTGCAATGGTGTACAGACTAATGAAAATGAATTGAGGTAAAATCACTTTGCATGTAAACAGACTGTTGTAGTTCATCTTACATTTGTGTGTATAAATAGTAAAACAATGTTCTCACAAATTTGAACCCTTTTATAATAATAGGTTTGAGAATAGTCATAGGTGCCTGTGTCATTTTTTCTGTTTTAGGTTGATGGTAGTTAAACGAGAAGTTGGATGTATAGCTGAGTTTGTGTTCTGATACCATGCATGTGGGTTAAGGACAGT